TTCTATACCAATAACCAGCATGCAGGAAACATGCTGCTGTGTTTACATTACTTGAATCCTTAGCAGCTCAGGCACTGCACTAACAGAACATTTACTGAACACATAATGTGCAATTCTTGCTTTGGAGATCCTCACAAACAGATGTACTTTTAAAGACAGTGTCAAAATGATCTTCCTAAATCTGTATATGTGTGTGCACACATACACATATATATACCTAGTATGCTAAGGGAACATCAGAATGACTCAACAGTAAGCTATTTTTTTTTTCCCCCATCAAATGGCTTTATGCACAAATCTGTAAAAGCTTCTTCAAATTTAAGTAAGTGTAAGAACATATGAAGTATTATTCATTATGTAAGTTTTAAGCATAATACAGTTCTAGCAGGGAAGCACTATAATGAAAATACATCCCCTGTGGAAACACTGTGCTTTGCTAAAGTATGCTTCATGAAAAATAAATCATTAGGAACTAGATGGAATTACACCTGACTAATGCCAAAGATATGATCCCAAACAACCTGAGGAAGTCTGTCCAAAATGCACCACATATCAAAGACACTTTGTATTTAAATGTTCTGCTATTCAAAAAATTCACAAAACAAACCAAAAGTGAAGACAACATCTCTTCTCCTTGGTGGTTAGAACTGCTCTACTCTTACTTGGCAAGCCTCTCCTGCTCTCAGTTATCCTGCCAACTGAGGAACACAGAATTAGTTTTAGGGACATTGTTTAGCAGAGCACCCCAAGAAACAGGGACACTGCACTACTTAATGTCTTGTATCAGTCTCCAGAAAATACCAGTCTCTAGTAACCTTTTCCAAAAGATGCAGAAGGAAATAGGAGAGAAAGTTTTATAATATTGCTTGTAATAGGACTTCTCACTATGAGGTGAGATGGCTAATTCTGTAGCACCCCTCTCACTCATGATTCAATTCAGAAGTTATACTAGTCAAAAATCTGGAAGAGAAGACTTACACTGGAGAGCTAGTGCTGCACTTAGAGAGAAAATTAGTTCTGAAGACAAGACTAGGGCTCATTACAAACTGGTAATGTAAAACACCACAGCAAGCTCCACTAACTCAGCTGACTGGAAGAGACTTTCTGCCAGGCCTTTGAGAAACTTTTACATCAATATTTTCAAAACAGCACAGCACCATCATATATACAGTTTCTGGATTTCAAAGCCTATCACCAAATGAATAACCCGCGGCTAAAACATACTCCAGCTATTTGTTCTGCAAGAGGAAGGAAAATAGGAAGAGATGGATAAGAAGGGTGAGGATCTAGCCTATGTGACTGCTAAGCAATATCTACTCCTGGACTTCAGCAGAATTGCTCCTCCTGATCTATGCAATAGTATTTACTTCCATCACAAGGACCTTGCCCCTCTCTCAGTTACTTCCACCCATCCTTCCTGTTGCACAGTACCATAAAAATCAATGTTTAATTTAAAAGTGATTGCTCCAGCAGACCTCACAAATCAGGTCTACAGGTCAGTGAGAAGAGATGTCAGAAGGTAACCCACCAGGTATGCCATGAGATACAAGACAGGGCTTGCTCCCAGAGGGAGGCAAGTCCTAGGGCTTTCAACAAGATGTTTTTGCTCCTCCATCTTTTTTAAAGAGCAGAGGGAATCTTCAAACACACACCTTGGCAAAATCACCAAGTAGAAAATAAACCAGTCCTTACCTCACACCTCTCCTAGTGTGGTCTCCACTCTAGCAGAGTCCTCAAGACTGTGCTAAGTAAGCATTTCCAAACCGTGCTCCTATGTGTGCTGCAGTCAGCAACAGTTGCAAAACCCCTTGAACTACCACCAAGAAGAACAGGAGTCAAATTCTGCCTGCTTTACACCTACTCAGCAAGATGACACGTTTCAAACTTAGGCATTAGCAGCAACACATTTAAAATTCAGCCAAAAAGTAACAACCCAGGCAGGCCTTACCTTTCCCTCTCTCAGAAAAGAGAGAGGGGAAGCAACGCACAGTTCACTCCTTAAATTACTTCACTACCTGGCACCACCTGTTTGCAATTAGTTGTTCACATACCACCCAATTACCCAATTAACACACTAACCTTAGAAAGTAAGAAAATTCCTGATTTAATATTTATGCTCTACAGGGGAAATGACATGCTGAAAATTGGTGGCAGGACAGTAACTGCAAAGGAATCTGCCACATCAGCAGCAGTGATTTTTAAGTCCCAACTCATGTTAGACATCTAATTCTCACCAAGGGTTGGGGGGGAAGGAAAAAAAAAAGGCGCCCCTATTTAAGATATTTCTAGACTACATTTATGGCCAAAGTGCTCACTCTGAGAAGTAGCGATCAGGGCTGCCTTAAGCACAAACTTTTATTTCATCAGGTGTTGGTTCATGCAGCTCCCAGTTCTGACCATACACTTTGCCTCCTCAAGCTCCAAGGTTAGCTCAGAGTTTGGAAGTGTGGCGGCTACCGACTGCTGGGGCAGAACTTCAGCCTTGCACCTAATTCCTCAGCGGCCATTACGCACATGCTTGGCTTTAAATATCCATGTTGTTTGAGTACCTTGGTTTCTCTGCGATATCCCTGCAGCAACCTGACTACTGCTCAGGGAGAGCTTCAGCAATGTTTTTTTTTGTTTTAGTTTCAATGTTTAGTTTAGTTTCTAGATTCTAGGAATCTAGGGCAGACTGCACCATACAGTCATTTTGCTGATTGGACTCCTGGCAATAGAAGGACCCTGTCTGCAGAAAGCAATATCCTGATTACAGCTTTACTGCAGATAGCAGGTGCACCAAGCAGTCAACCCTCCTCCTCTTCTCCCCTGGCACCCCTTTCATTTTCCCTTAAATTATAGACATATATTGAGGTCATCTTTAAACCATGTTGGCTTCATCTATGCAAACAGTGGTGTTCTCTCCAGGAACTTTAATATAGCAAAAGCCACACATGTATGAAATCTCTCTCAGCCGTTAAGAATAAATATACATTTATCAAAAGCACCCGTATCCCAAGTTACTTTATTGTAGATGCAGTGAACATTTCCGGTGGCAGACTGGCTTAAGGGGATCATTAGAAAATGTGCAAGAAATCACACAGTGCCTTCCTCTTGGGACAAGATTCATAATTTCATACCTTGATCATAGTAAAAAGCTCTCTTGCATCAAGTATGATGCACAGACCTGGGCGAGTGGGGATAAGGGGGAGAGGTAAGCTTTGGGTCTTATCAGTTAATAGTAATTAATCATTGTAAAAGTGTACCTAGATTTTTTTTTACAATAGAAATTATTTTTCCTCACATCAACAATGGGACTGGCAGAAATACATATATATATATACACACACTTGTGGGTCCTTCTTCACTGCTGAGAAGGACTAGGGAGCAGCTGAGAAATAGCTATGTAGTACCCTCCAAGACCTAACATCCAAATAGCCTGCTAGCAGAGCTTCTAGAAACAGGCAAAACTCTATTTAATGAGCATCTAATACTTACCAAAGACACATGCCAGTGGGGAGGAAGAAACCTTTATACAAGGAGATTTTTCCCCAAAGGGAAGGATGAGAAACTTCACAGCTGCCCTTAACCAGACACCAAAATTTCTTGCCCTAAAAGTGTGGCTGAAATGAATTTCTGCCCTGCCATCCATTTGCTGTAGCATTC